TGGGGGAAATGTCAAGGATCGCAGTTATACCCAGCCTTTTGAGTCTTGACCCACTAACAGCTGCAATTTCCCCCAAAATCACTTGCATTTTGCAAAAATTAATTTAAGTTATAATAACCCTAATGTCTACTAACGTCATTTAGGTTTTTATTACCTAAGCGATAGATAGGCGATGGTATTCGAAAATTTTGTCAAGCTCAGTTGTGTTAGTCATCAACATCAGTAATTGTAATTTATTGCTTTCATCAATCAATAAATGAAAAAGCTATTCACTACATTCAAATTCTCTATTGGAAAACTTTCTTCAAATTTTCTTTTGTTCCAAAATTACTGAGAACTAGTGGAATGTAGTTTAGCTGTGTAGACTATTGTTGCACGATGCCCTTTCTACGTGCTAGAAAAAGGGTGCCCGTGAAACGTGAGCTTTAGCACCGAACTGTCCAAGCCTAGTTATTTTTTTCATAAATTGGGTGCAGTCTTGGACATTAGCCCAGCGCAAAAAATAAATAAATAACAGGAGCTGTTATAGTTGAAAGAAGAACGTCTCTCCTTCCTCTTTCTAATTCTTGTTCTCTCTTGATTCTCTGCCACCATCTGCTTCTACTTTCAAGGAAATCAATTGTCTAAAACTACCAAATATTGCCACTGACATCTGTGGATGTTGTTTATTTGCAAAGCCATTGCTTTATGACATTATAGATGATCGGAAAATGGACTTCTATCTCATCCACATACCTATGTTACATAAACCCTCTTCCTTTTTGCTAGGTTAGGATCTCTCTCTAAGTTCATCAAGTAAATTTTACTTTATTGTGAAATAAGTAACATTTTTAGTTAAAAAGGAAAAATGGCATAATCAAACATATTTGAAAGTAGAAATTTACTCAAAAGTTTTAGGGCCTGTTTGGTATGTATTTTGGCTGAATTCTAATCAAAATTGTGACCGTTTGGTTTGGTCAGTGGGACCCGCTTGTGAGATGTTAAGTCAAACTCTGCGACTGAATTCATAGTTAACGGTAGGAAAAGCAATTTTTTTAGCTATTTTAATTCCTACCAAACAAGCACTTAATTTACTTCTAAGCTCAGCCAAAAGAAGAAAAAACCTATTTTTTGCAGGTCAAAAAACACATTCTTCATATTTGGAATTTGATCACAATAAGAGCCTGTTTGGTATGAATTTTGATTTTCTACAGTAAATCAATTCTCATTTTCAACCACACATTCTTCAATAAAATAATATTTTCCATCACATCAATAATTTTTTCTTTTTTTTCAACCACACATTTCACATCATATCACTATTC